GCTCTGAGGGACATGGAATACTTTAACCTGCAGTTACAAATGCATGAATAATGTTTGGTATTTTTAACATAAAACATTGAAAACTGATGTTTGAAATAATTTTTTTTAAAAATGAAAAGATACTTTAAATGCAAAATTAGTCACTGTTAATAAGTGAGTCATTGCGATTGAACTGAATCATTTAAACGCTTGATTCATCCAGGAAGGAACTGTTGTATAAAATCAATATCACATTTGTAATCATGTTGACTTTTGGAGAAAAAAAATGTCACTCTTCGTGTGATATTAACTATATTATATAAATATATACATTTTCTGCTCCCATATCTTGAATTATGTGATAATTCTAAATGCATTTTAATAGACCGATTTATGCAGTGAAAGAACGCACTCTAAATGCGCGCACTAGTTTAACCTATATTAACTGACTTCATCACCTAATGTATGTGTGCAGACTGTGCACTCTGTAGGTGTTTTGTTTGCTTTTTGCGATGTACTCGATAATGTCGAATCGCACATCGTTAAAACAACAATTACGATATTATCGCAGAGCATATATCGCACGCCCTACTATTTAGATTTTTATAATGCATTGTCTTCTTATCGATCCACCAGTTCATATTTAAAGCTCTGTGTGTTTGCAGGGTAAAAACATGGGCCGATTTTCACATTGGTCTGAACTCTGAACAGGTTTTTTGAGAATGCTCATTCTCTGCCAGCAGGTGGCGCGTTTGGTAGAAATATCACTGTTTTCCCAGTAAAGGCAGAACACAAAGCAGTGCAGCACCGACTTTGAACATGCAGCGCTCATGTTTATTTAATGAAATCGTAGCCTTGTTTGAAGTTTAATCGTCACATTCAGCCATATCGCAATTCTGGTCTTTCCAGACCCAAATTTAAGACCTCTTGCAATCATAATTAAGACTTTATTGTACAATTTAAGACTTTTTAAGGCCTTAAATTTGATACAACTAAATTTAAGACTTTTTAAGACCCCACGGAAACCCTGGTAAATCAGTGGAAAATGAATAGAAATTATGATTGTCTGAAAAAATATGAAGTAAATATATCTCTATATCTCCATGTATATGCATCTTTGGACTATAAGCCCTTATTAACCCTGTTCAGTGAAGCTATGTGAACACAAATAAACCGCTGCAGACATGACTGAATATGAATGCATGGTGAATTTCAATTCCAAAAATGACACATACAGATTTATCATTTTGCACTCCTGACATAAATTACAAAATTACTGTCACTGCAACAATGTTTTATCAAAACAGTGGTCAAATATCGAAGCTAGAGTCTTTAATCTTTCTACTGCTGCACAGTTTGTCCAGATCACGTAAGAGTGTGATGTTTTAGCGTGCTGTTAAAATTAAACATCAATAATCTGGGGCCTTTGACCACTAATGGGTTAAGATATCAGCTCAATAACACACTCAGCAAAATATCGTCTAATCGTTATCCCAGAAAATATGAAGATATATTTTTGTCAGTATCGCACACCCTTAATATTTAAAGTTTTGTAAATAAATATGAGAAGTGGCCTTTTTTCCACTTGAGCCCCTGCCCCTCAAAATGTCTGTGCACGTCCCTGCTATCAAATGACCTAATGTGACAACTAATAGTGATCTTCATTGGTTAATAAGAAAGGTTACAATCTACATGACAGAAATTTTAAAACACACAATTTACTGAATGAAAATTTATGTCGAGAAAAAAAAAGAAACTAACAAATCTACTAAATACTATGTAAAGTGAAACCTCTTTGCTCTGTCTCCTCTTCTTCTATCTGTCCATCCTCTTCTTCTTCCTGTCCATCCTCTTCTTCTTCCTGTCCATCCTCTTCTTCTTCCTGTCCATCCTCTTCTTCTTCCGGTCCATCCTCTTCTACTTCCTGTCCCACTGGTGTATTTGTGTCTATGTCATGCACTGCGGGAGAACAAATTAAATGTAGAGAGTGTGTAATTCAGTGTGTCAATACCTTGCACATTTCCAGTGAAAAATTTGTATAAATCAAGCAGCAAAATATAATGTCTCTTTTTGCCAAATATGTTGGCAATCAGCAATGTAGGATTTTCAGATCATGATCCAACATTTAGGTAAGCATTAAATAAACAGCATAGTTGTTCTTTAGGCATGTAAGGTGTCTTACTGATAGAGAAAATTATTTCCATCCCGGTAGGTCGAGGATCTTCAAGTAAAATGACATGAATATTGCATTAGAGGAAGTCTGAAAAAATCTTTCAATATATCAGCATATACTATCTTGAGATCATTACCATTCAGAAGATTAAAGTTCAAACTTACCAAATAAAATCAATGTGTTTTTATTTCTGTCTTCATCCATGTCATCTCCGTTATCACTTACAAACAGTAATTGTTGAGGTGGGAGTGACTGTTGAAGTGACTGTAGACGTTGCTCTAGAAGTGACTGTTGAAGTGACTGTAGACGTTGCTCTAGAAGTGACTGTTGAAGTGACTGTAGACGTTGCTCTAGAAGTGACTGTTGATGTGACTGTAGACGTCGCTCTAGAAGTGACTGTTGATGTGACTGTTTAAGTGACATTTGAAGTAGGTGTAGAAAATACTGTAGACGTAACAGCTGAAGTAACTGTTGAAGTGACAGTGATTGTCGACGTGAGGACTGAAGAGACTGTTGAAGTAACTGAAGTGTGTGTTGAAGTGACTGTAGAAGTGACAGCTGAACTGACTGTCGACGTGAGGACTGAAGTGACTGAAGTGAGTGTTGAAGTGACTGTAGAAGTGACAGTTGATCTGACTGTTGAAGTAACAGCTGAAGTGTACGTTGAAGTAAAGGTTGCTCTATCAGCTCAAGTGAATCTTGATTTATCTCGAGTGTCTCAAGTGACTGTTGAATTGATTGAAGAAACTGTTGATATGACCGTGGATGTGACTCTTTAAATGACACTTCAGATAACTCTTCACGTGAATCTTCAAGTGAATTTAGATGTTTACGTGATAGTTTGATTGACTGCCAGAAATGTTCTTTTTCAGAAATGCATTCTTTGAGCGCCTTGATTAATTTTCTGCGCTCCTTGATGTATTTGCTGAGCTCCTCGCTGGTTGTTCTCCTTTCCATATATTTCCACAGCATGCCAACACTCATCCTACTCACTATTATGGACGACAAATAAAAGTAAATAATTAATTATCTGGAATCATATTTGAAGAACAACAAAAACTGCATATTTTTTCATATATACTTTCTGCATATATACTTTCATATAAATTCGGACAACTTATTATTTCAGGATCACATGTAAGAACCTATCAAGATAATTGAACAGTATCAACCTGCTACTTATTACAATATATAGCAAGTAAGCATATAGTATCAAATACCTTACAACATACAATACACAAAAATCTATTACAATGTTTCAACAGTGCAGTGTCAAAGGGTGTTAATTAGCTTGTAAACATGGGAAAACTAATGATTGCTAATGATTACTCTCCTCCACAGCTCCTAAACAGCCTGATTCTGCATTTGGATGGTAATAACTGTGTGATGTTAATAAATAATTATCATTTATTTTTTTCTATTCTATTTATCTTTTTTTATATAAGTGAACTTACCACTAAGTAATTATATGTAACACTCATATGTTCATATTTCAATGCCAAACAGGGACGATACATATTTGTAACTATTATTATTAATTAGTAATTTAACACATATATACATACACGGAAGAAAGGGTGGACAATAACCAATCATTTGAATTCTATAATATTTTTTTACTATACTTTCCTAATGACAATTTTATGATTGGTTTATATACTACAAACACCTTTTCCCATTTTTTATCACATAAGGCAGAAAATATATTTTATAGTTTCTATATACTGTAATAAATGCTATGTCAATTAGCACTGCATTATTAATATACTATATTTATGTATTACCTGGAGATTACTTGAAAAACATACATAAACTATGTATTGTCGCAATAGTGTGTTTATTGTCTTCATCATCAGTCAAAATGTTTCAGCTTAGCTACAGCGATGGCTGGGTGCCTTTGTCCATTTTAGGGATTTCCTGGCATATCATAGGTTATTACTTCTATGAGTCCATTTTGGATTTTTTTAGTGGCTGTGTGTTCATCAGGCTTTAGAAAATATGATTTAAGTGATTTGATTTTGATGCTCCCTGGTTACTGCAGTTCATTGTAGAATTTTTTGGGAAGTGAACGTTTCAGTTCACTGGAAGGATTTTTCGATTGAGACAGCCTTTAAAATGACCAACTCCCTGATTAATTCACTGACTATTAGGCAGCTGATTAAAGCCGGGCTCACACTGCAGGAGTTTTTAAATCCTAACCAATTATGAAATCTGGTTGCAGCACATACATAAGGAGAGTCTTAGGGTGCTTTCACACC